AAGACCCCTGAGAGTCTCACATGACTATGTAATACTCCTAATAACTTACTCATTTTAAGAGTTTTTTGTTTTTTGTTTTTTTTTTGAGACAGTCTCAGTATGTCACCCTCGGTGCAGTGCTGTAGCGTCACAGCTCACAGAAACCTTAAACTCTTGGGCTTAAGCAATTCTCTTGCCTCAGCCACCCAAGTAGTTGCTTAAAAGTAAATTTTAATACTTTTCCAAAACTTATATGCTTAATCCCCAAGTGAATCTATTAATATATTTTTATCTAATAGCAATTCCTAAAATAGTATAATGAAATGAGTTAGAATTAACTCATCAACTTGTATGAGAACATTTCTCCCCCAAGAATCTGCAAAATGTCAATCTTGAGTTGATCACCCAAGAAACTGCAGCAAACTGGTCAACATAAGGAACTAGATCTGCTGTCCTGATATGTACATGTGGCGAATGTCCAGTCTGTGAAAGTTAGGTCAACTTAGGGAGGTGGTCAACTATGGAGGTTCTATATTATATATTTTCCCAGGAGGTTAAAAATAGCTTCCTTTTCTATTTTTTGATATTCTTAATTTATTTTCTTTCCATAAGTAGCAGCTTCTCTCTGAATTAAATGTTACATAAGTGTGGACTAGAGCAATGAGATTGACCTCTACACACAGAAAAAGTTGCAGGGTTGATCACCTCGTTCAGTTTTTGCCTTCCTAAAACTTAACAGCAAGTTGCAACTCTTGTGAGATATAAACTGTAACACATCTTCAGGTTCATTGACATGATGGACAACACACCCCTCTGATTTTGTTTCCTCCTTAAGGATGTGAGTGACAAACTGAGCCTCCGATTCCCAGGGTTGTACGTGGTGGGACAAAAAGACTTACTCTTCAACTATAGGAGATTCTTCGTAAGCTTGCTGCATGGCATCTTGACGTCAATGGTCCTCTTCTTCATTCCTCTTGGAGCTTATCTGCAAACCGTGGGGCAGGACGGAGAGGCACCTTCTGACTACCAGTCTTTTGCAGTCACCATTGCCTCTGCTCTTGTAATAACAGTCAATTTCCAGGTATGTGGCTTTCAGCGACTGTGTATGGTGTCCGTCCGCACCTGTGCTTTTGTACATAGGCTGGCATGCACACCCACCTGACTCCCAATGCTGCTCGGCCACTTTGCAAAGTATGAGCACACTTTTCACATTTTACACCAAGCACGTTTCCTATTTCTTGCCCGAGTCAAGGATGGTTTGGTTTCTGGCTGTGTATAGTATTCAAGTCAAATCATGCTTAAATCACTGTTGCTATTTTCAGAATT